TTGAAAACGATAGAATTCCGACACGTCGCGAATCAAGTTGAAATGTCGCATTCACCTACCCTGAACCATTGAGTATTCACACTAGTGAACACTAGATTTAGCGACAAAACCGCTGAGATGGCAACCCTGCCCAAACATGCGTATAGGCTATATAGGCCAAGGTTAAAGGCGATTCCTGAAGACCAATCAGATCGATTAGTGCAATGGAGGTGAATTCAAATCACTGATATATGCGGTAAATTCGAATAAAGAACATTTTCACATTATAATCTATTCGTATCATGGTTAGTTAGTGGTTGAAATATCTAGAATGAAGAGATATTCGCAAAAAAAATAATTCTTTCTTCAAATTTCAACGCCCTCTATCTCGAAAATGGTGCATTTTAGAGGGTAAGTTGATAGAAAATTGTTTTCATATTTTTGGACGAGTTATCACATCCTGAAGTCCTGAGCATATATTATGAAACGCCCTGTATAAGGAAGAACAATATTCTTTCTGCATAAAAGACTACTCTATTCTGAACAATCAACCGAACTCAGTCTGAATGTATCCTAGAAAGTAATTTTTTTTAAACTTCTTGACAATAAAATTGAAAAAAAAAACAATTACCAATACCAACTTTCATATTTCACAAGAAAACACCCTATATTTTATTCAACTACTACTACGTTCTCTTCCAGTATTCCCATTTCTTTCCAGGAAACTACGAACTCACGGCGAAGGCAGGTCATTGCCGTCAATGAAGATCTTGCTAAAACCACAGCCTGGGAACATAGTTGAATTTAACTCCGCGAAACTCAAGCCTGTATTCTTCTAATACTCAAGGCAGAACTCAATATGCCTGATATATTATAACAATGTCTGATACCAACATTCCCACCAAGTCAGCAGTATCTATGCTCGCTGTCTCCATCAGCAATACTCTTTCATGAAATAATCATGTGAGATCCATCGTGAAAGCTGCTTCACATTAAGAACTCGGACTTTCATTCCGTGCGAAAAGCTACTTTAAACCTCAACAGCTCCTCATGATTTACAAAACTCAGATACGACTTGTTCTAGAATACTGTTCTCACATATGGGGTTCAGCACCCAAACATACTCTGATTTACTTAGGTTCCATCCAGAGAAGAGCCACACTCACTAACACTTTGACATCATTGGAACACCGTAGAAAAGTCGGCGACCGTCCCCTTTTTCATAGATACTTCCACGGGAAATGTTCTTCAGAAATCTTTGCTATCATTCCACGACTAGCAATACCAGCCAGACAAACTCGACAAGCATAATGCATTGCCTACGTATGTATTTCCAAGAACTATTGAACTCCAAAAGTTCCAAAACACCTACCTCTCTCCCTATCCTCCCTAGGATTCCCTTTCTTGCGCTCCAAGCGATAAAAAAAATGTCCTAAACCGTTTGAATCGCGGCGCGTTTGGATATTCGCAAAGGAGACATTATCCCCTTTCATTTGACTTTAGTTTCAACCAGGGTTGGCATGAATTAATTCGTATGAATTAAATCAGTGATTTAATTCGTGAATTAATTCCATTGACTTTTTTCGAAAAAGTCATGAATTAATTCAAATTTTTGAAAATGAGACCAATTGCACTATTACCTTTGATTTTTACTAGTTTAAACTGAAAAATTCGATCGTATTTTGGCAAGACTTTGTTATTTCAAGCATGACAGAGATTTTTACTAACAGATATATATATACAGTATCAAGTATCATCCATAAAGTCCATAACATATGAGAACAGGTTTATTATCACAGCATCGAATTTTTTTCTCTCGGCGATCCATTATGCATATCCGATAACTTGAAAATCGATTTTGACACATGTCACGTGATCACTGGTATGGTGATAAATAAAAATAATACTATAAGGCGACGAAAAGTGGGGTTAGATAACAAAATATCCATAAACATTTCTTATCAAGTTGCTATTCCACATTCAGTTTCAAGCAATTTTCGGAGGAGACTTGGAAATAGCTATATTTTTTCGAATATTCTTCAATTTTGTTACGATTCTCTTTTTTTTTCTGACAGTAGTGATGTTGATGATGTACAAGTTGAATGGAATTCAATTTCATGCTCACATTATTTGAGAAAACTGAAAATAGCTATTTGAATTTTTTTTAAATAACTTCATCTTCCCATCCAACCCCACTTTTTGCCATCGTAATTTTTTGAATTTACCGCCATACCAGTGATCAAGTGACATGTGTCAAAATCGACTTTCAAGTAGTCAGACATGCATAATAGATCCCCGAGAAAAAATGTTTCGATATTCTACTAATAAACTTTTTCTCCATGTGTTACGAACTTAATGGATGATACTGGATCTATATGTATCTATTATTTTGTATTCTATCATCACTTTTAATTTTGTTTCGAAAAACTGACATGTTATATTATGATGTTATTCTACAGGATTTCTAAAGGGAATAAAAACATAGTTTTTTTGTTTCTTTTTTTCTATTTCGCTTTGGTAAATTAAATTTGTTTGTTTTTTTTTCAAATGAATTAATTCAAAAAAGTCTGACTTAATTCAAAAAGTCGGACTTTGATGACTTTTTTATAAAAGTCATGACTTATTCCAACCCTGGTTTCAACTTGTTATCACATGATGGAAGTATGTCCGGAATAATGGCAGCAAATGAATCGCTGTGCCGTGGATTTGGCTCATATTGAGGGGTGGCACCAGTAGGTTTTTGAGATCTACCATTCAATTGTTATCGGATGGCACAATTCTTATCTCCTTATCAAATCGCGAAATTGAGTGCAATTTACCGCACAGGAAAATGCGATTTTTCAATAATTTTGCTCAGGATAGTGATTGGCACAGATGCCGTTCGATAAAATACAATGTGTTTACATGCCCTTGGGACATATAAAATTTTGTTATCAGATGATGGTCGGAATTTGCAGCCGGCTTTTGGACTACCTATATATTTTTGACTTTAACTATTGTTCAAAAATTGAGAACACAACAACTGAAAGCTAAAAGTGAACAACAAAAATAATATTTCTATTATAAAATAATAAAACAAATAATGAGCCTAGGCATTGAAAAATTGTTACTGATATAATAGACTGAGAGAGACTGAGAGAGACTGAGTTTCAACGTGACTCGGTACAGTCACAATTTTTTTCCGAAATGGTTCCATTTATGGTATGGAACAGTAAAGGTGGAAAGGAATAATGGTTTGGCTACTTGGAAAGACATGGAATCACCGGGAATCACCGCAGCGTAATTCGCTGTTGCTGGTGCAGCGCCAGCATGGCCATATTCTTATACTGATCAATAGAATTTTAGAAAAATAAAATGTTGAATATATCAGGATAAATGTCCTGACATAAAAAATATCCTGATATTCATCGAGATATAGATGGATATTTTTCCTGCCAACCTTGAGAATTCAAAGACTCTACTGTCCACATGGAGATTTGATAGTGACATTTTGAATTTAGATCTCGGATATCTTATTGAAGTAGTTCCTTCTGATAATTTACTGTTCATTGATGGGGTGGAGTGTGAAAATATTGGGAAAACTTGATCCTCAAGTTTTTAGTCCTTATAGGACCATTCTAGTGACTGTGTCTAGTATTTCTATTGAGCTTTCAAGCTTGTCTGAGTTGAAATACTCTTGGAGTGAGTTGACTTTGAAATGTTTCTATTATCTATCATAATGTTGGTTATCTGAAGATTCTCTTCAAACCATTGTGGTGACAACTAGTAGTTACTATTTAGTAGTTAGTATTGATTTAGGTATTCCATTTTCTTATTTCAGTGATATTCAAACATTTTCAAAGTACTTCATACTACTTTCATCTGGACTTTCATATTATCTATCATATTACTTTCCATGCCTAATGACTATTAATTGCATCTTTTGCATCATTTTCTCAATTACTTTGGTACAGATTTTCAAGTTTTCTTAAGAAATCTTCTTCTGAATATTAGTGATAAGATAAAATTCAAAACTCATTCAACATAACTTATCTCAGATCTAGGAAACATACACACTATTCAACTTCATTTGCTATCTCACCATTTTTATAAACTGTAGCAATATGGCTTCCTTCTATGTGATTTCCTCATATTATATGCATTCCATGAGGGAGTAGCTCTTCATGAGGTTTTAATTAAATGTATTCATGTCAATAACACTCTATATATCTATGCAAAAGGTAGTTATAATAACAACACTACCTGGAGGGTGCAAAAACATGACATAGAAATGCCAGAACATGGGCTTCAACATGAGCTCAGAAAGATAATATGTTCATGATAAGACGCTAGCCATATCCTAATTTGAAACCTACTCATATGCAGAATGCAAATTGTGATTTTTCCTGAATAAAACCATTTTGCTTTATTACTGGATACATAGTAGATATTTCCTAAATCACATGTTTCAAATTGATTTCAAATCTAACATTTATAGGTAGCACAAAGAGCACTATTAAAGTTCTGGAAGATTTCATTCATTTAATTATATTTCAACTGCTGATGTAATTATGTCAATGCCAATACAGAACTGTGAGAGCCAAAGTCATATGATACAGTTAACTAAGCTGCTTCTTCTTCATGAAAGCAAAAGCTTGGGAAGCAACACTACCACTAACACTTGGAAAATGTGGGGTAGCCCAGATATCTTGCCAGATATCATGGCCTCTGTTTTGTTGATATATAATTTTTCCACTTTCATCAGAACACTTCCAAAATGTGGGGTAGCCCCGATATCTTGCCAGATATCATGGCCTCTGTTTTGTTGATATAGAATTTTTCAACTTTCATCAGAAACAAAACAAAGTTTTTAGTCCTCTGTGACCCACCCCTGTGTATATACCTACTATTTCAAGAAACAAATCTGTAATTGGTGTATCAGCTGATTTCATATAGGTAGTATAAAGCAAATTATTAATGAAAATAAGTTATCAAAACAGTTTTGAATTATTCAGATATTAGGAAGTACCTATAGAACTTACATCAACTTCCTTGTCCAGAGCTGCAGCCACTTTTGGTCCAAATTTCTTAATTCCATAAATCCACATAATCATGAGAGAAAGACCAGTATAGTATTCATGTTCCAAAACATATATTTCCTTGCTGACAAGATATGTGGAAAGTGTAAAAGCAAATGTGTAGGGTCCAGTTACACCTGTCTTTTTGTAGAAGAATTGGAACCATTCTTCTGGAATGAAACCCATACGAACCTTGCCAGGTTCCTGCCTCACCTGAAGAAAATGAACAAAAAATAGGGTCTTGGATAGAATTGATGATTCATCATGAGAATACTAACAGGCCTCAAACTACTTCCTGGATTTTCAGTTGTTTGTGATACTTGTGAATTTGCAGAAGATGTGCTGGTTGCTCTGATGCAAGATGTGGCAAGGGTCCTTGGGGCTTGCCCTGAAACAACATTTCATAGTATGGTCCAAGAAGGTCTGCATATGTGGAACTTTTGAAGATCCGTACATTAATGATCTCTTCACACCGAAAATAACACACATAAAAAATAATACACCAAGGAACAAGGTGCAAAAATTGACTACGGCACACGGATTGAAATAATGATCCATTGGCCATTGGCCTGTTACATAAACCATCACTTGGAAGAAAAATTGATTTCAACGAACGGATAAAAAACAACAATGAGACATTACCTGATAGAAATGAAATCCTAGAAAGCATCATCGCTTCAAGTTAAAAGTAATGAACTAATTAGTATAATTTATCTACAAGAATTTTTATATTAGCGAAGACTTCGCCAAACGCCAATGGCACACCAAATTCAGCACAGCACAGAACACATTACATGACACAACACATCAAGGCTATGAAATGACACATGACGTGGAGTTTTGAGGACAGAATATATGCTTCATATATCAAATGTCAACTAAATATCTAGACAGTATATCTATTACTCATGTATGAAGCATAGCTGTCCTCAAGGCGAGAACACGAATTTCTGGAAAAAATACCATGGCCTTTAGTATGACGAAAAAAGTCTCAGGTATTTTTTTCAGATTTTTATTCGAAGCAGTTCTTCCACAAAAAATTTGCAAAGTATTGATCCCATTCAAACGAGTTGGAATATCGCGCGTTAATGTGACGTGACAAGTATTAGACGGTGATCCGGCAACGTCGCTTGATATCTTCTGGACTGTTGACTGTGTGGACAGTTGACTATTCGTTCATCTGTCACTACTGTCAGTTGTTATTTTATTTTATTGTTTATTTGTTTTTGTCGGCCAATATTATTTTTATTCCTGCCATCGAATTATTTATTTCTTCTCATCAACGTTGATTCACATTTCTGGGATGGCAGTGGCTGTAAGGAAATGCCACAAACTTGGTTCCATCCTGCTTAATCAACACTGAACAAAGTATATGGATAAATAGAGGGATAAACCATACCTGGAATCAAATGATATATTTTGCTGTGAGTATGGTTTTGATGTGAGTAGAATTTTTTCTTCAATATGGATTGATCATACTCATTTTGTTCTAGCTTGAATATGACATGTTGAACTGGGTGGAATTAAAACTCATTAGATCTAGAGTTTATATGCCTGAAGATGTGATTCCATATTCATTAAACGTCCAAAACTGAGAAAACACCCATCAAAATCCTAACTTTCATCTTCAGCACGGAAAAGGAGATCTCAATAATCCCTTGAGATTTTGGGAGATAAGATAAAATGGAACTTCCCTCAAATCATATTGACTCTCCTTGAGGAAAATTCTTGGAAGTACCAGTGAGTGTTTTAGTTGAAGAAAGTTTTCTTGAAGAACCTGAAAAGGAACCTGTAATGGAAGAGACTGACATCAAATACTATGAACCAGAACCAAATTGACAGTCCCATAACATATTGTGATAAAATGACTCAGGACTGTTGCTGATTGATATACAAATATGTTTGTGATTTTTACCATCATGTATAAGTTTATTTGTTTTCTTGCAAACTTTGTGATGATCTGTACAAGATATTGATATAATATTTCCATGTTCCTCAGCTATATTCATTCTAGAAATGAAATATATCTATTAGGAGGTCTATTGATATTTAAACTGTTCTAATCATATCTACTGCATAAAGTGGACAATAAATGAAAATTTCCACCAACATTCTTGAGCATTCTTGCTTCATTTTGAAGATGGGGGCACTTGATAGTTTCTGTGTACTACCTATTTGTTTACATTTTTGACAAATTTTTCCCACATGAAATAGTGAAAATACCTATCTATAGTAATTTTGGCTTGCATGATTTTGTTTTTCTCATTGAGAATTGATGTTGCATCTTCCATCATTTCTAGATATGCCAGTGCTTCCTTGGTTTATACTTACTTGGTCTTTCTTACCAATATTCCACTGACAATAAAATATGAATAACTAGGTTGTTCGACAAGAAGTAAACATGAATTTCATATGCCTACCATCTCCAGTTTGTGAAGGTATAGTGTATGATCAATATGAGAAGGGATTTTGAAGTTGTGTATGATGAAATATGTTATTTATAAGACACTGGTGAGCTTAAATGAGTCCAATTTTGGAATAAGAGATGAAAAAAAGTACTGATATTTTATAATTTTATTAAATGGGTGAAAATAACAGTTTGCTAAACATCTTCAAGTAACTGGAAACTACCATTATTCTCAAAATTCTCCTGCTCATCTAACCTTCGCATATCTTGCACTTTGTGCCTCATAGCTTTGAAGCAGTAATTCTTCCATAGCAAACTTCAAACCATGCTGATAGTGATGATTTGTTTTGATTCACTTTTATATCTTGCACCAATTCACAATCACTGTCACTGATATTCTGATGATGAATGAAGTCTTGGAATTCCCCAGGAGAAAAATTGGATGAATGTTTTCTGGACAAAATAATCAGCTTATGAATCAGAATCAAACTCTTTCAAAAACAGTTATCCTTGGCATCCATGTTTTCCATCTACTTGAAAAACTTCTTCAAGAAATTTTGGTGGAACCACTGGGAGGGTAGGAACTTGTTTTGGTGCTAATTCTACAAGTGGCATGAATGTTGATAGGAAGCTCAAAAATTTGGTAGTTTGGACACTTTTCAGTAACACTCCATAGAAGGTACAGAGGGTTCTTCTGATCTTCCATGTGACCATAATAAGAAAGCCACACTGTGTTTACATCTACCTAAGAATATAAAAGAATACAGTTTATAAAAAAGTCAAGAATTTATGTACCTTTTACCTTTTGAAACTGCACAATCCAGACTACAGTTTTTTCAGCTTCATGAATCTCAGCCTCAACCCTTTATGGTGTAGGACGAACTTTATGAAACAGCTCATGCCAGTTATTTGAACTTGCAGAATCAAAAACCATAGTTGAATCAACTACTGGAAGATTGTGATTGCTTTTTCGAATACTGGCTTCATATATCTCCAATCAATAAACATGAACCATCAGACTATGTCACAATAATAGTCACAATGATTTGAATATTTTGATTACACAAGAAAATATTAAGCAAATGAAAAATCACAGAAAAACTCTGATGTTTTGATGTTTAGGAGTTCGGTTTCTTGAATCTTAGGTTAGGAAATATGTTAGAATATTTTGAAGGTACAGTACAGCGTTGCCAAATGCACGCCAATACTTGTTACGTCATCACGTATCCGCCTTTATTGGTTTTTTGAATGGTCCACAAATTTGTATGGTTTTGAAAACGCGTTCTTTGGATAATGACAGCATTTATTGTTGAAAAAACTACTGGTACACATTATTTCAATGTTATATTTATTTCTTATCCACATTTGAACTGAATTCGTGCTATTGTGTTCTCGCCATGCCGACGTAGGGAAAAAATAATACGAAACTCGTCAAATCAATAGTGCTGTTTCCATCCGTTAGATTCAAAAAGTACCTCTCATTTTGGTCATATTTTTGTTGAGATATCGTATAGGCGATGGGCCATGTTCAGACTGTTCCTGAATGATATGCTAATATTCAAGGGGCCGATTCTTCGACCCATTTCAAGAATAAAACTTTATATGGACGTATGTCGTAAACATCCTAACCTTTGAAATACAGGGTGTCAATGTTGAAAATATGTAAAGGGAATTCTATTTAATGATTTAGAATTTTCTAATAAAGGAAATGAAAAGATGTATGTTCAGTTAACGAACAGTCGAAGATTGTTTATTTTTCATAGTTTCCATGATGACATTATAAAAATGAAATCTCAATACTGAGGATCACAAAATGTGGCTACATAGCTCTCCCTCAAAAAAAAAAAAATATATTCTGTACAGTATACACCTATACCATTATTAAAATCTGACAATCACTTTTGTATTGAATGAAACTTTTTTGGGTTTCTTAACATTCATTACTGGTGTACCTGCACAATTAGACTGAATTTCTATGCATGAGTTTTCGAGATACGCTGGTTTCAAACGATCGATAGATACTGTTTTAGTATTACCATTAATATCTAAAGTGAAAAATTTTTGATTACGTTGAATGACCTTAAAAGGGCCAGTGTACCTCGGCTGTAAGGTACTGAGCATAGAATCCGTTCTCAGGAATACATGTGTTGAATTCAACAAGTCTTTAGAAACAAAAATGTTCTTATTAGATAGGTCTCTGGTACGAGCTGGTTTGAGATTGTTAATAAATACTCTCAATCTTGAAACGAACGATGATGTATCTAGCTCGGGTTTGTCGGATGATTCAAAGAATTCATTTGGTAAACGAAGTGTTGTGCCGTAAACCATTTCTGCAGACGAACACCCTAAATCTTCCTTAATTACCGAACGTAGTCCTAGTAAAACTATAGGTAGATAATCAATCCAATTTTGAGAAGCGTCAACATAACATCTCAAAGAAGATTTGAGAGTCCGATGGAACCTCTCAATAATGACGTTACTGATTGGATGATATGCACAAGAACGAATTCTTTTAATCCCTAGAAATTCCGTTGAACTCCTAAAAACAGATGATTCAAATTGCCTACCTTGATCCGTTGTTATTGAAGGAACACCAAACCTTGATATCCAACCTGAAATCAAGGTTGATGCGACAGTTTCAGAAGAAATGTCTGATAGAGGAAATGCTTCAGGCCATCGAGAATATCTATCGATACAAGTCAATAAATATTTGTATCCTCTAGAAGGCGGTAAAGGACCAACTAGATCAATATGAATGTGATCAAATCGCGTGTCTGGAGCAGAGAATTTCTGAAAGGGTGCCGATGTATGACGATTTATCTTAGATTTTTGACAATGAATGCAGTTTTTAGTCCAATTTCTGATATCTTTATTGACACTTGGCCAAACAAAACGTTGACTAATGAGTTTTTGAGTCGCACGAATACTAGGGTGTGATAATGAATGAAAATTATCGAAATTTTTTCTGCGGAACGACGTAGGTATGAATGGTCTGAAATTGGTTAATGAAACATCGCAATACAGTGTGGAATTATTAGTGCTGCCAGGTTTTGGTTGGTTTATTGTACACAGAGTATGTCCGTTAAAAATTGCATAATCTCACAAAGCAGTGAATAATAAATTCATTTGTCTACTCACTGAATCAAAAGTAGTTACTTGCTTCCTCATACAAGGTTATCAATTATTTACCCCCACGGAAGGAAAAAATATTGACTCCGGTGGGAAGTAAAATGAATTCGCATTAGCACATGCATCCTCAACAAACAACTTCCGGAAATAAGTTAATTGGCCCAATGTTTTTTTTTTGGCTGGGGAAATGACTTCAAATAGGTATTGGGCCTTCATCTTTTCATTTACTGTGGTGTTGCCGAGAAAGACAACAACTTTTTGTTAGCTCAATCTTAAA